CATAAATGCAGAGTTGAAACAATGCAAACTCATTTTTCAGCAGTTCTGCACTGAGAAGTCTGACCCAAGTGTCTTTAAAGCCCAATGTTGGGTGGACTCTCTTGCTCTTTGGAATTCTCCTCCAGGAGAATGTGTGTGTGTGTGTGTGTGTGTGTGTGTGTGTGTGTGTGTGTGTGCATGTGGTGTCCATTTTTGTGCTCCTGGTCCTTGATTTCTTTCTTGTTTGAGGCAGTTTCTTATTGTTTGCACTGCATATGCAAGGCTGGCTGGCCCACAAGACTGCAGGCATTCTCTTGTCTCTGCCTGCTATCCCACTGCTGTGGCACTGGGTTTACAGAAATGCAGTACCACATCTGGCTTTTCTTGGTATGATGGCTACTCTTCGTTGTCTATGTGGCCATATCTGGAATTAACTAAAATCCGAGCATCTAGGTCCACCTGTGAGAGATATTTTTGTAATTAAAGCATTTGGAGTTAGAAGACCCACACTAAATCTGAATCTCTTGAGGTGGGAAGATCCACCTTTATCCTGAACCACACCTTCTGCTAACATCCTATACATAGTACATGGAAGAAGGAAGTTCTTGTTCTTAATTTGGCTGTTCTCACTCTCAATGGCAAGTTCATCCCTTCACTGGCATTAGAGCCTACTTCCCTAGTTCTTCCTTTTCCAGCCTATACTGAAGATCAGCTAAGGCTTCCAGCCTCATGGACTGAACAACTACTGGATTCCTGGTCTTTCCACTGGTAAACAGTCATTGTTGAACAGGTTGGGTCAAAATTTTAAACCACCCTAATATGTGTCCTAATCTGTATCTGTCTGTCTGTCTATCTGTCTATCTGTCTATCTATCTATCTATCTATCTATCTATCTATCTATCTATCTATCTCTATCTTTCCATCCATCTGTATCTCTCTCTCTCTTTCTCTCTATCAATCTAATAAATTCTGTTCCTCTAGAGAACCAAAACAAATACAGTAGGGATCAGGTCTTCATGCATGTAGAACAAATATTTTACCTAAGAACTTCTCTAGCCCTACAGAATTTTGACAAAGATATCTACTTCATATATGAACTTTTCATTTTTTATACATTGAATTATGCTAATACCTTTACTTTAATAATGCTATATATTCACTTTATCCTCAGTAACTTTCTTTAGAATTATTCCTTCTTTTTCTGGCATTTCCTCAGCTTTCTTTGCAGTGTCCACTGACAGAAGATTTTGTGATATCTTGGTGGTATCAATTTGCCTTTCATTCTTATACATCTTCATCCTCTTTGATACATCAGACGTGTCAGTGTCTTATCAATAGGGTAAGAGAATTAATCTGGAAAATATTTTCCCCTGAAGAAGTTGGGTATTATGTTAGAGGCTGCATAGGCTTTGGTTCTGTTTGGATTACAATGGTGTCTCTACAAAATATAACTGATGACTGTGAGAATTTGATCTGTAGCAGGTCACACAGAATGAGGGCATTCTAAAAGCCAAAGAGGTACATATAATTTGTGGTACTGTGATAGAGCCACTCAAGTGGCCTTTGAGCATGAATCATACATGAAAGTTGGGGTGAGGAATGGTTAGATTTGGTCTTACGATGCACCAATAGCTTACATAGGGAAGAGAGCTATGTACATAGAGGTACCCATGGGGAACAGTGCAATAGTATGTATTCCATTGCAACTCTTTGTGGAGCTCAAAACCATTGATGGCTGCAGTAATGCCTTTCAGCAGAATCCATGACTCAGTGGTGCTATTATGGAAAATCTAGGGTCTACTATGTACAATTTCTGAATTGTAAGAGGACTTACCACATTCAAATAAGCTCAGGCTGGGAATCAAGAGCACTCTATGCAAGGTGCTTTGTTCCCTTTTCTACCTGACCTCCTGGAGCCTCCATTTTCCATAATTCTCTTCATTGTACACTATATTACAGCGCTTTACAAATATTCTCAGCAACCACTATCTGTTTCTTTTTTTGGTTTTATTTCTTAAGTGGAGAAGGGGTTGTCTAGTGTTTCTCATTGGCCATCTTTTCGCAAGTCTGCATCACAATTTATGGTAAAAATATGTTGAGTATTTGGTGTAGGTGTCTGGCATAGCTTCTATTAAGAAAGCAACAGAACCACCAGCATAATTTGCATAACCTGTTATAGACTGAGTGTTTTGCCCCTGAAATCATACATTTAGTAGCCCAACCCCTCAGAGGGTTCATGCTAGGAGGAAAGGCTTTGGGAGGCATCTATATGTAGACGAGGTCATGAACATGAAGCACAACAATAGGGTCACAAGAAGAAGCAAGAAGGGAACCATTCTCTGGATAGACGCACCATAGGAGGCCATGTGAGGTCTTACCAGGAAGAATGCTTTTACCGGGGGTCTGGCCACACAGGCACCTGAGTCTCAGACATAAGTCAGTGGAAGTGTGAGAACAAAATCCCATTGTTTAATCCACCTAGTCTATAGGAATATAGCTGCTTTAAAAAACTGTTCCCCACCATAAATACTTTTCTCTGTGTCTCTCCTTCAGTCTTACTAACAGATGTACTGTTTATCTACATTTTATTTCAAGGATGATAAAATGTATGCCAGAGAGTGTGAAATGAGATAACAAGGCAACAATAGTAATGCATTAGTAATAGTATAGTATTACCAATCATAGTAATAGACAGTCACTGTGAAGTTACTATGGGTTCTTGGGAATATCAAGTAACAGTTAATGTTTTTTTTTAAAGAAAAAGTTTATTAAATAGCTTTTGGTATTGATATGGAGTAAATCAGTCATTTAGTAACCACAACATTCAAAAGCATATGAATATAAAGTAGGGAAATCCCTTCATCTTCACTGGTTCTGGTACAGAATTAGAGAGCTTCTTTAGTATTTTCTCAAGGATTCTGACTAAATAGGATTTTTAGAATTTCGGTTATTATTAGGACATTTATGATCTGTATGGTTATTGCTTCTTTCTCTCTTGTCCTCTTTGTTCAAACATACATCTCTTACATTTGTCTTTAATTTTATTTTATGAATATTAGTCTTGCATGCGTATCTACTAACCACACGTGTTCCTAGTCCAATATCTGTCAGGAGAGGATATCAGATCCCCTGGACCAGGAGTTATAGGCTACTGTGTGCTACAATATGGGTTCTATTATTTGGGGACTGAACCCCGGGCCTCTGCAAGAGCAGCCAGCATTCTTAACCTCTTAGCCATCTCTCCACTTCACTTTTTACCCTGTTTCTGGAATGCTAGGGATTTAATCTGAGGTCACATGCATGTGCATATTATACCACTGAGTTACCACCCCACACTTTCCTTGTTAGTTTTAAAGAAAATCTTTTTGTGTGAGTGCATTTGCATGTGTGATGACCATGACATGGCATGTATGCAGAGCTCACTGAATTTTGATTCTTACCTTCCATTTGCTTGTGTCAGGGTCTCTTTTTATGAGCTACATGTGGCAGGTTAGTTGGCCCCACAGTTTCCAGGATTCTCTTCTTCTGCCTCCTGTCTCTCCACAGGAGTGTATGGATTTCAGGTGGATAGAGGGCTTTATGTGGGCTCTGTGGGTCTGAACTCAGGTCTTCAGACTTGCAAGGAAATTGAGCCTTCTTTCCAGCCCAGTTATGGCTTTTCCTGTGGTATTACTATGAAGAGAGGACATAAGTGTGAAACTCAAGGTTATAGAGGAGTCGCATCAGCAGCTGGGGGCAGCTAGTTCACTCCACCTACGTTAAGAAAGCATAGAGCAATGCATGAGTTCAGGTGTTCTGTGGCTTACAGTCAGGGATCAGTAGCCAGGGAATGGTGCCACCCACAGTGGGCAGCGCTTCCTACCTCAATTAATGTAAGCAAAATAATATCCCAAATACAAGTCCAGAGGTTCATCTCCCATGTGATTTTAGAGTCTGTTGATCAAACTACCCATCACAATGTTAAACCTAAAAGTAGATGTTGACTTATATGAAATGAATTTGTACAAAAGTGCAATGACTAGATCTGAGGGTTTATTCAAAGTGAGTAGATAGTTTTAGCACACAGATTATTTACACACATCTGATCCCCTTGCTACAGCTAATGCGGATATATGATCACTAAGTATGGATAAACCCTGCATGGTCTGAATAACACAGTATGTTGTTTTGCAATATCAGTGTCTAATTTTTCTGTCATTGATTCTGATTTTTGACAGCTACAAGATTTCAGCATAATCAGAAACCAAGTTATTTTTTATACATATCTCTCTGAGAAGAACATTAGCATCATCAGTCACTATATCAAGGAATGAATTTTTCAGGTAAAACATTTTTTTAACATAAACATTCTTAGCAAATACATCCCTTTTAGCCAAATGGAACTCTTAAGAAAGTCATGAAAGTCTTTCTTGTATTGTTTCTTCCTTTGTAGTTTCAACCACATGAGGAGATTTCATCTTTGCCTTGAGCTGATCCACCGACACTTGCCAGTCCTTAGCCAAACTCTGCAAGGATGCATCATCCACTCCAAACACAACTCGATAGAGGTTCATGCTATACCTAAGATTCTCCACATCATTGCCCGTTAAGAGGGTCAGTGAAGGGATCATATTGAGTAGGACAGTTGTAAAGGCTGTGAGCCAAATGCTCTGCTCCAGGAACTGCCGCTTTCTTTCAATGGCCGCATGTGTAATACTTGGCAAGGAGAGCATAAAATTGTGTCGTTTGTATACAGGGAGAGTATTCACCACCTTGTCCATCAGGATTTGGAAATCATAGTCAGATAAGATTTTATTAGAGATCAAGAAGATGGGTGGTTCCTCAATGTTATTCTCCTGAAAGGTCCTCATACAACTGCTGCAGATCTTCTGCAGGACCTTTTCTTTGTCAAATGTTTGTGATTTGAATTCCTTCTCATTTTTCAAGTCAGAGTCCACCTTGGTTCTCACAAAGTAGAAATCCTTCTTCATCCTGCTGATTGCTTTGGCGAGGTCTATATCATTTTTCTTAAAGCGTGTGGCAGAAAGAATGATGAAAAAATCATACTCGTTGAATTTCATTTTCTTCAGATAATCTTTGGGTGGGAAATTTGTGGTTCCAATCCTAGGCAGGTCCCCAAAAACCACATTGGGAATCTTGGGGTGTGTTAGGGATGCCTTTCCATGGTCGTTTCTACTACAGCAGTTTCAGCTGCATCTATATCTTCATGCCCAATCCCCTTCAGGACATTGATGAAGCTGGACTTCCCTGCTCCAGACTCTCCGGTCACAGCAACATTGAGTGGGGTGCCATCAATATCTTTTAATGCATTAGTGATTGAAGAGTTTGCCCCCTGAATGTTTCCTTTTGACAAGTTTAACTCAATTGAATCTAAGGTTTCTTGAGGAATAATTTTGCTTTCTACGTTAAACTTCTTAAAATATTCGTTAAAGCTGGAGGCCAAATCTTGTTGGCACTCATCCTTAGATGAAGAGAACTGCTGACCCATGACTGTGAGCAAGTAATGCACTGAAAGAAAGAAGGAAGAATCAGGAGGATGTTTATTAAATTTGGGATCTACATTTTATCAAATTTCATGTATATTGCCACATACCATCCTTAATGATTGCAGTACTACATCTCATCTCCCACTGTGTTCATTTTACACATCTGAGACTTTGTGTCCTTTGACTAACATCATCTTATTTCCCTCTTCCACACCTTTGCCCATCACCCTGCCTTCCACCTCTATAAGTTTGGCTTCTCTAGAGTTCACCTGTAAGCTATACAGTAGAGCCATCTTTTCCGCAGGATCTGAAACCATCTCATGAATCTTTGATGCTTTAGTCTCCATTGTGTCTTTTAAAATTTTTTTGTAATATAATTTTTTTATTGAAAAAAAATTTCTGCCTACTCCCCGCCTCCCATTTCCCTCCCCGTCTCCCTTTTCCCCTCCTCCTCCCTCTCCTCTCCCCTCCCCCCACTCCTCTTCCCCACCCTCTCCAGTCTGAAGAGCAGTCAGGGTTCCCTGCCCTGTGGAAAGTCCAAAGTCCTCCCCCCTCCATCCTGGTCTAGGAAGGT